CCTGGGGGCTGGGGGGGGGGGGAAAAACGAGCAAAAAAGGCCCATTTTTCACTTATTTTTGCCCTCCCCAGCTCCCAGGAGCACTCTGGAAGCCTCCTAAAGGCTATGCACGACTATTTTGGTAAAGCGGGCAGGGTTTCGGGAGACCAAAAAATGCTGTATTAAATGTGTAAGATGCACCCAGATTTTCATCCTCTTTTTTGAGGGAAAAAGGTGCGTCTTATACTCTAAAAAATACAGTAGGAAAAAAAATCCACTTTATTCGGCAATCAATGTAGCTTTTTCTTACATACAAGCCACTCTGGCACACAAAGTCACCCTTTCCTTCGCTTCCATCAGAAACAGGAAAATAAAAGGAGGGGGAAGAAAGGAAGAGAAAAGGAAGGAACAAAAGTGGAAGGGTTAAGCCACAGTTTCAGCAGTCAATGGGTGTTACCATTCTGTTTTTTCTATTCAATTCAGCAAGTGTGGATCATTCCCCCACCCCCATCCCACGCACACCATTAATGAATAAATACACGGGCATTTATTTTATCATCAATGCCGGATTGTGACTTCTGCTTAACGTCAGCGAATTGTTTTAATCACTATTCCCTGTCCAAAAATTTACACAGGACAGGCTAATGGTATTTTAATAAATATAGCCACTTACTATATATCAGCAGGAGTCTTATCAACTGTAGAAACTATTTTAAGGACGGGTTTGTTTGCCTTACATGGTGGCCTCTGATTAATTCTGCCATTTTCTCTATACCGTGCAACCCATTAAAAATCACTGAAAGCTACTTTCGGCACAGCCTTAGCCTGAAAAACTGCTTTTAAGAAAATACATCTGTGAGAAAACACATGCTAAAGTATATCTTAGAGGAAGGAAAAAAATGAGAGAGGTTTGTCCAGTCGCTATAATGGGACTGCATTTGAACTACCAAAACACGATCAGGTCTTAATTGAAGTTATTATCCACGCGCTCATTTAAAAATATAGAGCTTGTTGCCAACTTAAGCTAAACTTCCACAGTGTTTCTCAACCTTGGCGACTTTAAGTCCTGTGCTGGCTGGGGGATTCTGGGAGTTGAAGTCCACAGGACTTAAAGTCGCAATGGTTGAGAAACACTGAGCTAAAACAACCGTTTTAAAATAAAGAATAATCAAAAATAGATAATATTTATAAGATCTCTTTGAATTTTACATAAGCCATTTAAATCATTTTGTTTCAGTCTGGTTACCGACTCTTATTACTAACACTAGTTTTAACATGAAGATACCTTTAATGTTGTGAGACGCTCCGTCACTGGAATTTTTCAAGCAAAGACTGGATTACTGTTTGTCGGGTATGGTATAAGAACTTCTGCCTTGGGCGTGGGATTGGACTAGAAGACCTCCAAGGTCCCTTCCAGCCCTATCATTCTATGACTCAGTATACTTATCTCCTTTAGTCTAGTCTTATTTTTTTTTAACAAATAAGAGAACTGATTTTATTTATGAAGCACTTGGGCCTCTCCATTATCATTCCCCAATGACTATGAAAATAGAAATGATTATGATCATTCAAAGACGGGGAAGGATTAAGGATTTAAAACAGGACTGACAGTGCGCGGGGCAATGGGCAGGCATAACAGAGCCTGCTGATCCATAAATCACCGTGGAAGCAGGAAGTTTGGAAATGAAATACAAGATTGCAAAACAGGCAGAAGATAAACGTAAAGGACCATTCGGCGAGGTTAGAAAATATGTGCTAAAGACAAAGCATCTCCATGGCAACACTTGAAAGAAGTTTAACCCGATTTAACATTCTCACCTGTATATTGCCAAAGTCCACGTTTTCATAATGGAAGTGTGCACACTCTGCCATCTTTGGAAAATGGCCCTTGGTGAAGGACAATCTGAAAGACAGGTAAGAAGTTTGGAGTATGTTATTGCAGAAATCAGAACTGACACTTCAATCAAGTAAAGATTCTCCTGACATTGTCGACAGAATATCTTATCGGTACCAAATCCCACAGAACATGGAGTATCGTCTGCGTAACACAAAGAAAAGGTTTCTAGGGAAGAAAGCAAATTATCAAGTATTATTTGTTGTTAGAAGACAAATTCCAGCTAAAAAGAGCCTGCACCTGAAACTGAAATATGAAGGCAAGGAATTCGTCCTTTAATGCCAAGAGAGCTAGAAGACTGAAGGATAGAGAAGAAACATGAGTGAACTTCATATATCTATCCCAACTGACAGAAATTATCCGTGAAAATAATTAAGAGTCCATCAGTTCTATACTGGTAGATCTGGGAACCAAGCATGTGTTTTAATTATTTTCTAGCTTTGACTCGGGGTTACAAAATGATAGGTATTGCTGAAGCTATATTATACCAGCGCAGGAACTGTTTTAGTGTCCTGGAGCACATTTTTGGTGGTGGTGAACAAAGAGTGTTTGATCATCAGTCATTCTTCCCTTAGGACTTTAAAAGAAAAATGAGATTTAGCACCTGGTTTTTCCCCCACAAGAAAACAGGGTCATCAGCTTCTTTTGCGGAATCAGCACATGATTGATGAGAGTTCTGAACAAATCCATTCCTGGACAGTTTTCTGAACTTCAAATCATTACTGGAGCCAAAGATGGATCAAATACAAGTCCACCTTACCAGCAGATTAAATTGGAACAGAGGGGATTACAGAGGAAGAAAGGAAGTGAAACACAGTTCAAAAAAGGACCCTGTGATAGTTAAGGGCTGCGTTTCGCCGTACTTTCCTTGAAAGTGACAGCTGGGATGTACTTTTTCTTATGTATAGAAAGGTTTATGCTTTGATTTAGCTAGCCATCGAGAGAAAATATAAACCTTAGGAAGCTAATTTAAAGCTTGTCCTGATGTCTGATTTGAGATAGGAGGCTCTGCTACCAAAATCAAAAGCAATGAGATAGAGTTGGCGCATCCCAATGACAAGGTTGCAGTTAAGATAAAGCTCTCTCTATCTGCGGAAGCCACTGCACCAAAGACTGGAGCCTGAGGGCGCAGAAGATGAAAGCAGACGAGGCGGCTTTAAATAGCGGTTGGTACAGAGATCTGTTCATGATAGTTACTCTGGTAGCTGGGATGCAGCACAGAATCCCATGGTTCCCTCCCAACCCCTTAAACCGGTTTAAAAATCGGCCGTTTTAATTTGAGGAATCTGCACAATTGTAATAGGAGGAGGAAAAATAAAGCAGTAAAACATCTATTGGCCTGCCTTGGGTTTCTAGAGGCTTAAAAGGGAGAAGAGAAGAGCGAGGGGAAGTCAGAAAATGTGGGCAGGCTTTCTGTTTAAGTGAGCATATTTACTTTGAAGTGGGGGAGAGACACAATGGCTTAGCAGTTAAAGACCCTGAGCTTGTCAGCTGGAAGGCTGCAAGCCAGGTTTGAGACCCGAGCGCTGTGCAATGGGACGAGTTCCCATTCCTGCCCCAGCTCCTGCCCACTTAGCAGTTCGAAAGTATGCAAATGCGAGTAGATCAATAGGTACCACTTCGGTAAGAGGGTAACAGTGTTAGGTGAGCCTTTGGTGTAGAGCAGGGGTGTCAAACCCACAGCGCCACATTGTCATCATGTGCCTTTCCTCCCCCCTTCGCTAAACCAGGGGTGGGCATGGCCAGCGTGTGACACATCTAGCCTGTGGGCCATGAGTTTGACACCCCTGGTATAGAGCCATGGTATAGCAATAGCAATAGCAGTTAGACTTATATACCGCTTCATAGGGCTTT